TAGCATGATGTTTTCAAAATATACCCAAATTGTAGCATATATCAATACCTCATCCTTTTTTAATTTTGCTTTTTAGATTTAATTTAATTTTCACTTCTTTTATACATTCAATTACATATTTCTCTTAGCTTGTAAAGTGAATTTTCCAGTATCAATACATTTCTCACCATTCCAGTTTGGGATTCTATACACATTATCATCAACAGATAACAACCCATTTCTTTGTCCCATAACTGTCCTGCATCTCTATTGTTCTCTTTAACGTATTTCCTTAGACTCTCCTCCTTCTCCCACTCTCTTCTCACACTGTATCTGGCATCTATACGAATTGTCTATGTTTCTATATCCTCTAGCATACATATATATATATATATATATATACACATATATGAAGATATATGAATATATACATATGAATATATATCTGAAAAGTATTGTACTTTTGCATCAAAGTATATTTACTGAACATAGAATTATAGTTTGATTTTTTTCTTTAAGTACTTTAACTATTAAATTCCAAGGGTTACTTACTTGGATTGCTTTTTAAATGAAATCTGCAGCTGTAAGCCTTCTCTTTAGTTGCCCTTACATAACATGTCTTTTCTCTGGCTGCTTTTAAGATTTTCTTTTTATCACTGGTTTTGAGCAATTTGATTATACTGTGCCTTGGTATAGTTTTCTTCATATTTCTGTGGTTTATTTTAGTAAGACTCTTAGCTCTATGGGCATATAGTTTCTGTCAGTTTGGAAATTATACAGCTATGATTTATTCAAATATTTCTTCTGTCCTCTCTCCCTCCCCACTTTAGTGTTTCCAGCTGCCTGTATATTAGGCTGATTGATAGTCTTCTATAACTTGCTAATGCTCTGTTAATAGTTTTATTCCATTTTCTCTCTCTGTTTCATCTATCAATATGCCTTCAAATGACTAATTTTTCTTTTCTTGCAATATCTAATATGCTGTCAATCTAGTTCAGTGTGTTTTTTACCTAACACATTGTAATTTCATATTTTATCTCAAGTTTAATTTGGGTCTTTTTATATTGTTATGAGTCTACTTAAGTTTTTGGACATATACAGATTAAATATAGCTATAATACAATTATAATAATTGTTTCATCTCACTTATGTGCATTAATCTAATATTATTGTCAACTATGAGTCAATTTTGATTGATTGAATTTTTTATGAGTCATGTTTTTCTGCTACTTCATGTTCCTGCTTTTTTTATATCAGCTTTATTGAGATGTAATTTGCATATTATAAAACTCACACTTTTACAGTGTACAATTCAGTGGCTTTTAGTATATTGAGAGAGTTGCACAATCCTTGCCACTATCTAATTTTGAAATATTTTATCACCTCACCTTGAAATGAAACTTCACACCTCTTAGCAGTCACTCAACATACTTTCCTTCTTCTGTCTGGCCCTGACAATGGATAGTCTATTTTCTTTTCCTTTTTTTTTTTCTTCTTTTTTTGAGAGGGTTTTTCTACAGGGCCCATGCACTCGTCAGAAAGACAGAGAGAGACAGAGAGAAAGAAAGTGAGACACCACCCCCTGACCCGGGGGGGATGGCCATGCTGCAATACCTTCTCCTCCATTCTCCCCTCAGCATCCTGGGCACACATGCATATGTTTCTGGCATGAGTTTAAGCCACTAGGTCTAGGACTCGAACTGCGGTCAACTACACGAGAGTCCAGTGACATAGCCATTACGCCAACTGCTTTTCCCAAGATAATCTATTTTCTGTCTCCATGGATTTGCCCTTTCTGGACATATCATATAAAAGGAATCATAAATTTGTGGTCTTTCATGATGTGCTTATTTAACTTAGCATGATGTTTTCAAAATATACCCAAATTGTAGCATATATCAATACCTCATCCTTTTTTAATTTTGCTTTTTAGATTTAATTTAATTTTCACTTCTTTTATACATTCAATTACATATTTCTCTTAGCTTGTAAAGTGAATTTTCCAGTATCAATACATTTCTCACCATTCCAGTTTGGGATTCTATACACATTATCATCAACAGATAACAACCCATTTCTTTGTCCCATAACTGTCCTGCATCTCTATTGTTCTCTTTAACGTATTTCCTTAGACTCTCCTCCTTCTCCCACTCTCTTCTCACACTGTATCTGGCATCTATACGAATTGTCTATGTTTCTATATCCTCTAGTCACTCAGTTTGAGCCATTAAATGTGGACAGTCAGTATATATTAAGTGGAGACATACGATGTCTCTCCTTTATAGCCTGGTTTACTTCATTTAGCAGTAAATCTTCCATATCATCCACTTACTGTCAAAAGTATGTCCCCACTTAATATATACTGAGTGTCTGCACTTCATGACTGAAAATGATTGACCTAAGGCTGTACAAACACAAGAGATGGGGGCTAATGCCAGATGTGATGTGTGTGGAGAAGTGGGGTCTACAGAAGGACATTTGGAGGAGGGATATGGAGGCAGAGCATTGACGGGATGGAGAGGTGTGGTGTTATTGATTGAAGATATTTTGATCAACTGGACTGGGGAGAAATGTTCACATATTGAAATGTTCCCTTTGTAAGCTAAATAATGTGATTGAATGTATATAAAATGTTTTTAATTAAAAATAAAAAGGAAGAAAGGATGATGCATTAAAAAATATGTCAGCATCTTGTTTTCTTTTTTATGACTGAGTAATATTCCATAGAGTATATGTGCCACACTTTTTCAATACATTCTTCTGTTCGTGGACATTTGAGTTGGTTCCATATCTTAGCAATTGTGAATGATGCTGCAATAAACATAGATATGCTAGCACTTTTCCAACTAAGCATTCTTCTATCCTTTGGGTAGATACCAAGGAGTGGGATTACTAGATCATGTGGTAGTTTTATTTGTAGATCTTTGAGGATTCTTTGTATTGTTTTCCACAGTGGTTTGACCAATTTATATTCCTACCAGCAGTGTAGGAGAATTCCTCTTTCACCACATCCCCTCCAGCACTTGTAATTTTTTTTTTTTTAATCTTAATCATTCTAACTGGGGTGAGGTGGTATCTCATTGTGATTTTGAGCTGCATCTTTCTTATGATAAGGGATGTTGAGCCTTTTTTCACATGCCTTTTGGCTATTTGTATGTCTTCCTCAGAGAAGGAAGCTCATTTCAGCTCATTCTCCCATCTTTTAATTGAGTTGATTATCTTTTTGGGTGAAAGCAGGTTGAACTCCCTTTGTATTCTGTTTTTCAGTCCCTTATCTGAAGAATAGTTTACAAAAAAAGATTTTCCCATTTGAGTACTGTCCAAGATTTGAAAGAAGAAATGGACTTCTTCCTATTCTATTAGTGAGCAATATTATATTTTGTGGATAAAGTACATTTTGCTTATCCACACATCGGTTGACATGTATTACAGTTGTTCATATCTGAAATATTTTAATGGGTGTCAAACATTGTAAATGTTAGCTTTTTGGGTATTAGATATTTTAATTCCTATAAATATTCTTTTTTTTTTTTTTTTGGAGAGGTTTTCGCTATAGGGCGCGTGCGCTTGCCAGACAGAGACAGACAGAGAGACAGAAAGTGAGAAATCACCCCCCAGGGGGGATGGCCATGCCGCAATCCCTTCTCCTCCATTCTCCTCTTGGGATCTTGGGCACGCATGCACATGCGCCCGGCGTGAGTTTTAAGCCACCGGGTCCGGGACGCGAACCGCGGTTGACAACATGGAAGTCCAGCGACATAGCCATTACACTAACTGCTGGTCCCAATTCCTATAAACATTCTTAGACTGTATTCTGGGATGCATTTAAGTTATTTACTAATAGATCTTTCTAAATTTTGCTTTTAATATTTGTTAGGAAGAATTAAAGAGATATTCAATTTAGGGCTAATTTTTCCCACTTTCAAGGTGAAACACTTATGTCCCATGAATCTTGATGTTTTCCAGTCTCTGGGTAGTGGGACGGACACTATTCCCAGCTCTATGAGTGCTAAGTAGTAACGCCCAATTCTTTCAGGTGGTTCTGGTACAAGGAACTATCTTCACATGCAAGCCTGGGTTTGCTCAGCTGAATACCCAAGTAGGACCCTCTTAAATCCCCAAAGTTCTCTTTTGTTGTAGCTCTCCCCTTTTTAGAATTCGTCCTCTCAGTCTCTCAGTTCTGTCTCCTCAAGTCAGGAAGGCTGTCAGGTTCCTCCTGGGCTTTCTTCCCTGTACTAGGTCTGCAAATTCTCTCAAAAATGCATAATCTTTGCCACTGTAAGGTTTACCTCTTTGTTTTCCATCTTTTAGGCATTATTTTTTATTGCCTAATGTGTGCAATGGCTTTAATATTGTTTTCTATGTTTTGTGGGTTCTTTGGTTGTTTCAGCAGG